ATCGAGAGGTCAGTGTATGACAGATCAGAGCTTTATTTCTGCAAAAACGCAAATATCCTGCTTGCGAATTAACTGTTAATAGCAGCAACAGTGTAGGCTCCGAACATGAATCAGTAATACTTATGGTAATAGGTCATTTTGGGAAAACAGCAGCTAAATGCCCCGCATAAAAAGCCCTCACTGTGATTGTTATGCAGCCTAGGGAAGTAATATAGTTCTGTTGCCACTCATTCTTCAAATCTGACTCTTTTTGCGAGGGGATGCTCCCCACAGTGAGCCAAATGTTCGCATTTTGTCAACAGAAGCCAGCGATTCTGATAAAGCTTTTGATGAATTTCTATTTCGAGAATTGCTTAAAAGCAAGCTGATGGTATTTTTGACTGTACAATGCGTACCAGATATAGTTTTGCATCGAAATTCGAGTTTTTCATGGCGAAAATATCGATCGAAAATTTTACTTACTAAGCATATATCTTCTGCTTCACACTTCATTTTTTTGTCTTCTACACTTTTTCTTCTGTTCCTTTTTAAAATCTAGCCAGGGGCTGTTTTATTGTAGACGTACGTTGAATTTTGCAGCTTTGGGAGGCACGCTACATCCATCAGAATTATTTTGCGGCACTGAACGGTAGTGCGCCGATCCACGAAATATGCCGAGATGTGTTCGACTTCCCACTGATGTCTGAAACATTTTGTGCCGAACTCGTCGAAGAATGCGAATATTACGGACGATGGTCTGATGGCAGAAACGAGGTGAGCAAGGCTGCAGGGCTGCAGACAAAGTGGCTAGTAATAGTTCACCGTAGTTCATTGTGTTGGAAACATTTTCTACACCCTTGCCAACCATTTCACAGTATCGTTGAGGATTTCTGGACTCACTGTTCTGGAATGCATCTGTGCACATCACTCAGAAAGTTGGGGGCACTGCAAGTAGCGCCTGTTTTTATATTCCAATAACTAAACTGCTGGAGTAGGTGTGTATGTGTTCTTGTATCTGTCCGTTGTGTTTTTCTGTGTTTGTGCGTTTTTTGCGCATTTATATATGTTCGTGTTTCGCTGTGTACGCATGTCTATATTTGTTTTGTCACAGTGCCACTTAGTTTAACGAACGGGCATTGAAGTTGGGTTAGTTTTTAACAAAATTTGGCGTGTAAAAAAATGGTACTGTTTGAAAATTGTGATGTAGTGGATTCAGACGAAGCCTTTTTTGTTTGAATTTTTTTACACAGAAAGTTATAAGCATTGTTCATTCAAGCATTTAACACGGAATCTGTTCGAATAATCGTGCTACACATATAGTCTTATTTCGGGAATTTACCCTTTTTTTTCTCTAGCAGTCTGTGAGTTTTCATTTTGTAGTTATTTTGGACAAATTTTCTGTTTCCTTCTTCGTACTTATTTCACGCTACTGTTCGATAACTCTGTGTGTATTTATGTATATTTGCACGTCTGCATGTATGTGCGTGTATATTTATGTGTACGTATGTATGTAACTGTGTGTGTGTGTGCATGTGCGTGTGTGTGTAACTGTGTGTGTGTGTGTGCATGTGCGTGTATGTGTGTCTGTGTGTGTGTGTGTGTGTGCGTGTGTGCGTGTGTGTGTGCGTGTGTGCGTGTGTGCGTATGTGTGTGTGCAACCAACTGTATTCTGAGCGATTTTTTAGGACGCTAGACTGGCTGGTGGTTATGAAAATGTCCCGACCCGTGACATCCATATGAAGCAGATCGATTTTGAACGACACTGGTTATATATGTTGGATGAATATGTTCGTCCAATACAGGAAAAATTATTCGTTGGATATTACAAAAAAGCAAGTTTCTGCCGCCTTACACCAAAAATTGGATTTTCAGCTTAACTGTTTGTTTTTTCCGACCACGAAGGCCTTCACAAGCTCATTTGTAATGTGTTACGAAAAACTGTAACTACAAAGGAATATCTTACCAGCGATGAGATACTCCAATTGCTCATTTCCCCATACAACATTGTGCTCATCGCGAAAAATCCCCAGTTGATGTGGAATCTGTAAAGATGATTTTGCGATCAATGCGGAGAAAACTGGAGAAACCAATGAGGAATAGAGCACATATTGCTCCCATTTCGACATGGAATTCGAGAACCCGTCCTTGGAGTTTCTGGACAGCTCTGCCTTTTTGGACCAAACAGTATAAATGAATAATGAGATGGG